ATGATATTTGCGGTCCCGTTACAAATCAAGGCCGCCTTCGATTTCATATTTTGAAAATTCAAAATTGTCAACGGTTTTCTTATTTCAGGCAAAAAAGACAAAAGTGTCCGGTCACTAGGTGGTGTCCGGTCACTAGCATAGTTACCCTACATGCATATGTACATATGAATATTGGGTATTGCAAGGAAAACTACGTAGCGATGTGTCAACCACATGCGGTACCCAGACTCGTGCTACATTTTGATGTACATATGTATACCTTACCATCATTAGCACACTTCTCATTTCCTGGCCCACCGTTAGTTCAGTTTGACAACAAGGATTGATAGATGGACGAAACCAGATAGGGATTAGAATATACTGCTGTTGGAACAACAATAACCACCTATGATATCGCCGAATATTATCTCGTTAATGTTTCAAAGTCATAAACTTATATACTAATACAAACATTACTGTCTTATTGTAGTGGACCTTATTGACAAAGATCGAGGATATATTTGCAATATGTATCGGAGGGGAAGTGTGTGCATTATTGGAGATCACAGGACTACCCCAGGGCTATCGCATGCAATTTGGCTCAAGGACTGAATTAGAGTCCTTTATCACATATATATCGGGCTATTCAAGGTGAAAATGCATCTTAAACCCAGAATTATCTTTTATTGTCAATTTCTTAAATTTTTAATCAAAAAAATTAAATTGTAAATGTTACTTAAAGACTAACTGCGAAGTGGATGACTGATTTGTGTGCGAACTTCCAAACTCCCTCCTTACAAAAACTGAAGGACCTCAAATGCCATGGACCAATTGGGTATTTCATCCGGATCTGTAAAATTTGTAATTTATTGTAAGTAATATTTTGTTTTTACATTATGTAGTGGTGCGTTTTCCTTCGCCAAATTACGAGAACTATCTCTAAATGGTGCCACCTGCCTAATCCGTCAATGCGAAAAAGAATACGATGTATATTATATTGACAAAGCGAAGACGTGAGTAAAATACTTTTAAAATTTAATAAGAACATTTATTAGGAATTTTAAATTACATGCATACAGTAAACTGGAAAAAAGTTTGGCGGTGGATGTACTCACTACTAAAATAACCAGAGAAAATAACAAATGGCTTCTACATTCAAACGATGGCGTAAAAGCATTTGATGATTTAAAGGATTTAAGGAACTCTATTTCAACAAAAATTCTATGGCCATCAGAATACGGTAATTAACAAAGTTATATTAAATACTTTATGCAGTTTAAACGGTTTTTGTATACCATTGATTACATAGAAAAGGCACCACTTCTGCTAATTTGTTTGCCAAAAAATTTACAACCAAAGAAGACTGACACGGAATTAAGTGATGCTGAACTCCGAAAAAGAAAAGTCCAAATATTTGATCGGAAACAAGATCTGCGATGGTATCAGAGTAAGTAAAAGCATACACTTTTCACTTTTTGTTTTTGAAAAAATGCTGGACATTTTTTTACTTCTAAAATAGATACAGAACGTATGTGCGATAACGGTAAAATAATGTTAGTTCGTGGAGACTGGATCCAAGGAGGCGTCTGCAAAGACGTTAGTGTTATGCTAAAGATATTTTTATCAGAAAGTAACCCCAAGGTAATTACGTTCAGAAAAGTGGTCGTATGTACACATAAAAATGGTCCTCTGCAATAACGACACAATTCAAAATTCAAAAAAAAAAACTGTTACTACTGTTAAGTGGCTCTCGTCTCTAATCCATTTCCATCCCTTACTAAAGTAAGCAGTAAGGGCTTCTGAATTAAGCACAAAAGATTAGATATGGATTCGACAAGGAGCCACTTAACAGTAGAATGGGTTTTTATTTTTTGAATTTTAAACTGTGTCGTCATTGCACAGAACCATCGATATATGAAGTTTATATCTACTGTAATTGGTATGTAAAACTTGAAAAGGAAAATAATTTACGGTAAAATTTTCGTATTTTAGGAGTTCACGGACTTGGCCAGCTTTTGTAGTCAAATTTTTTCAGCGCAATTTTTAAAACTACATGGTTTAACCTTAAATACTCCTTATACAATGGTAATGGAGTATTATCATGCGCCACTCGACGAATTTCTTCGAAAGAACAAAGACGAAATATCTCTCCAAATGCTAATATCTATTGTATATGATTTGGCGAGAGGTATCGAATATCTGGTATGGAATTTTTAAATACATCATAATTTAGGTTATAAGTTACAATTTATTATTTTTTCAATCTTAACACACAGAGAGTGAAACATATGCATCATGGATTTATTCGCTGCTCTAATTTGTACGTGACAAAATACGACCTGAAATCCAATTGCATCGAGACGAAAATTGGCGATCCCGGAATTCGTCGTGCTTATTCCCACGAAGAGTAAGTAGCGCATTGCAGGTGGTGCAATTAAAGTGTCTGTAACCAAATAATACCAAATGCTTGACCTATTTTCCACGTTGTGATGAAAATGCCTTTTTTAAAAAATCGTAATTTAACTGCTTAAGTGGGTTTAATGAATTTAATGGGGAAACCGAGTTATTAACCCGCTTACGAACAATTGTACGTACAAATTCAACTAGCTATACCATTTGAAAAATTTATAGAGAACCCGACGCACGAGTTCTAACACAGTGCTTATTTTCTGGAAAAAAAAAAACAGACTATAATTCTTTGCTTATTCACTTAGTTATAATTTTATTTCGCTTAGTTTACCTTGGATACCTCAGGAATATTATAATAATCCCGATGGTGTTCGCGGGGACGAGTGTGCAGATGAGTGGGCCTTCGCAACAACTATTTGGGAGATATTTGCATATGGTAAGAGCATATTGGAAGAGCTCGAATGCATTGGGAAACCCGCCAAAATTGTTGAAAAGCTACTAATGAATCGGTCTCGAACCGGTGGCATACTACTCAAACCAAGCGAATGTTGTCCAGAAGAGATCTCTAATATGATGTTTGACGGCTGGAGTTTGGACGCTTCCAATCGGTTTCAAACAGGAAATATCTTCGGTACGCTAAACACTCTCATAGGAAGGTACAGGCCTAGTTATGAACGTATTTTCACAAACGAACGCGAAGACCATCTTCCATACGAAGATAGTGATAGTGATAATGACATGGACAATGAAAATAGTGGGAATTGCGATGCTTTCTCAAGTCAGTCGATTACACCGTTTATTTCCCCCAATCAAGGATTTTCACATACTGGAATGCCTGGTCGCCCCTGGGATGATACACAATGGGTTTTAACATTGCCAATTGGAAAAGTTATTATTATTAAACAAGTAGCCCAGGGTCATTATGGCACTGTGCATTGGGGCGAATTACGTTACAACGATCCAAATACAGCGCCAGAAGAAGTGGCAGTGAAGAAATTTAAACCTGAAGCTACATCGAATCCAAAAGATTTCTTACGGGAAATAAAAATAATGCAGGTAAATAATAGTAAAGGCATAACATTTATGTACATCAATACATTCATATACCTATACATTATTTTTGAACTCAAAACAATAATTGCTGTTAATATTTTTAGTCCATGAATCATCCGAACGTTGTTAAAATTAAATATTCAGTCCGAAAGCCCATTTCTATCGTAATGGAATACGTGTCTGGAGGTTCGTTTCTTGTACTTTTAAAAACCTCCAATTTGACCAATAATAAGCTGTTACATTTCGCCAGTGACATTGCTAGGGTTTGTTTTGTATACTATTTTTCATTGCTGGAGATTATTAATATTTTTGTTTCTCGTTTTCTCAATTAACTTGCATGTAAAGGGCATGGAATACTTAGTGAGTAAAAAAATTATACACAGAGATCTGGCAACACGAAACATTTTGTGGGATAAGGAGAAAGATTATGTTAAAATATCCGATTTTGGACTATCACAGTTTGCAAATGCAGATGGTTACTATTGGGGATTTAGCCAACGTGATATTCCCATTAAATGGTATTTATTTAATATGAGAGAATAATATATTTGGTTCAATGTTTTTGAACACGCAATTTTTAGGTATTCGCCAGAGTCCATAGCATACAATAAATTCTCCATGAAATCAGACGTGTGGTCTTATGGTGTGACTATGTTTGAAACGTTTTCGGGCGGAGATATGCCAAATCTGGTTCCCAATCGGGAGCTTAGTCAAGATGAGTTTCTACAACGACTTCAACTGGGTGAAAGGTATGTATAAACAATGATTAGATTATGTAGATACTAAAGTCTTTTTCCTTTTGCTTGCTAGGCTCAGAAAACCAGATTTGTGTCCACAAATTGTATACGACAAACTTATGCTGCCATGCTGGCAAGCTGATCCAAAGGCACGGCCTACTTTTACGGCGTTGCTTGACTCTATTCGGTCAATTATGTTCGAAGGGGCAGCCATTTAACGTGCAAAATTAAAAAAAAAATTATTACGGTAAAGCTTTAATATAGTGCGTTCTAGTATTCAAAGAAAATCCTCACGAGAAAATGACTCAATGCACTCTATCGCCGAAAATCATATAAACTAAAATATATTTGAAATGCTCTATAAACTGAAAAATAGTATTAACCTGCCACTTTATAAAGCCTTTTAAATTTATTTTATTTTGAATGAATGAGGCCATACTTAAACGTAATAGTACACATAGAACGTTTTTATTACTTTCTTCTGGCAGCATATGTATGTATATCGTTATCACCAAAAACAAAAGGCCCTACCTATTTGATATGATTTCAGAAATCAGATTTCAAAATATTTCCTTAGTTGGCTATATATCTTGGCTATGGTCAGATATATCCTTTCACCAAAATTTATGCTGTGTGTGGAAATTTAAAATGTTTTTTGTAAAGTTGTAAATCTATGAGTTTTATTATAGATACAAAAAGATCCTTTCAAAGCGAAGCATACAACTTTGCTTCTTTCATATCTTGAACCATCTCATTTTCTCCTAACTAAAATTATCATAGACTTCCTTTGATTTCGAATTGCGATTATATATTGCTGCCGCAGAACTTATTGGACTTTCACTGCACAGAAATAGGCAGACAAACTATTTTTGGAAACTATTCGTTTTTAATTGTACTTGTTTCCTGTATATCAAAATAAAAGTTTTCATAAAATGTGCAGCAAAACGGAACCTTCGTTATCCAATGTATTTTCCCTTCGTTATGAATTCGAAATCCAGCCCATTCTCGAATTTAAATTTTAATGAGATTGGTTTAAATTTTTTTTCGAACCCATTTCGAGTGTATTTCCAATATACTATGAACGTTGGAAAACTAAGGTTGGGTTTGAGTTCGTTCTCAGTAAGATATGCATATTCGGTACCTATGTGCATACAAATACATTTCGCTGTTTTATGTATTCCCCAAAGAATTTTTTGGGAGTGTTGCTGGAGTGACAGTCCTTGGTCAAATATAAATCTGGGCCGTAACCGATACTTAGACCCAACTGTCGTGGGAACGAATACATATCGCTCATTTACTTCAATAGGGTCATAATCCAAAAAATACAAAAATTAAGTTAAACATGCAGAAATTACCGCTACCCCTTATTCTATGCTGTAGCTGCATGGATTACCAGTATCTCACTAGAATAAAATGTGTATTCATGTTTACTATGTGAGTATGTGTAAATTCAAAACTTTAAAGCAGTTTTTCTCGATTCTTGCTGTTTTGAGTTGTGAAAATATTGAAGTGAGGGCCTATGTCAATCAGTAGAAAAGGTGAAAAAATTTTACTCTGGTGAGACAATTTTACATTTCTGCTGCCAATTCGTACCTTTTTACTGCTAGAAATTTTTGACAGTCGCTAACAATTATTGAGATAAATATTTTTAAATCTTCAAAGACGTTTATTTTGTGACTTATATTATAAAAGTCGTTTCATAATAATTATGAGTGCGAAAAAATTTTTTAAGTCTTAAAAGACGGGGCTTGTTCAAGCCCGTTTCGGGATTAGTTGGAGACCAGCTCGGGGCTAATTGGGGACCAGTTTGGGAATATTTGGGGAGTAGTTTGAGACCAGTTGGGACTTAATTTGGGACAAGTTTGGGACTATATATATAATATAGTTCCAATCTAGTCCCCAACTGGACCCAATCTACTCCCCAATTAGCCCCCAACTAGCCCCGAAATGGTCCCGAACTAATCCCGAAATTGTCCTGAACAAGCCCCGTCCTTTAAGACTTAAACAATTTTTTTCCTCGAACGCTTGATATAGGCAGTGTCACCCAAATTTTCGCGTAAACGTGAAAAGTAACACTGCCGCACTAATTGCAGCTCGAATACACCCTAAGTCCTTATATTTTATTTTTCGTTTCTTACTTGTGTACAACGCCGATTTATTAAGAACTGCCATGATTTTCTTACTATTACAGAAGTTTTTTATTTTTATGCAAAATTTTAAAGCTTTGATTTCCCAATGAAATAATGCGCACTTTTTCCTACTTTCTACAGAAAATCTCACGGACCATATGAAATTTACAAATGCAAGTAATTTACTTTGTCTATTAAATATGGTACTTGCACCTCGGCCCAGCCAATTTATGTACATACATACATATTAATTAATTTACTTATAAGTTTTTAAGTTAAAACTGAAAAGGAAATTAGGTGTTACTTTGGTATATATACATATTATATGTAGGTAGTTAAGATTTGCATTTTTAGAAAAGTGTAAGTAAGTGCATTCATACATATATGAGGCCATGAGAGCAGAAGTGGCCTAACCCAAAAATTTTTTTTTGTATGCTCCCCTACTTAAAATAGTCTCAAACCAGATAAATTTTAAAATTTAAGTCACCTATTCTTTTATTTTAAGGCAAAGAGCTTCATCAAATAAAAGAATAAGCGACCTTTACTTTAAAATCTATCACATTTGAAACTATTTAAAGAAGTTACGTTACCTACCAGAAAAAAAATTCCAGGTTAGGCCACTTTTGCTCTCAATTGCCTCAATATGTATGCATACGTATGTACAATGTTGTGTCTTAGTTTCTTTAGAATTCATATGGTTATATTTACGTTACAATTATACCAGAACTTTGTTTTAGAGTAAAGTATATTTTAAGAACGCCATATCTAAGCTTTTGTGAATTTTTCCTTCGATTAAAATTAAAATGTTTGGAATAAAACCTTCACGAGTATAAATACAATTCTTTTGTAATTTAGTTGGAACCCTACATTAGACTGGGTCGACTTTGTATGGGAGAAAATACAAGTTTTTGATGATGTTGTGTACGTTCACACCTGTATGCTTATCTGCTGATGAGGTTATGTCGTTATATTTTTTATTCAGTCTACAACATTAAAATACACCACAGAATAATAATTTTCAACCAGACAACCTGATAGCCAGACAAGTGTGACACACCCACACTGTAGTTGTGATATTATTTGCTTAACGAGGAATTTACACTACATATATTTTGATCGGCTTCCAAAGCATGTGATCCTTGTTTATATATTTTCATAAACTTTTTTTTAATTCACTGCACTTCCATTCTAATATTTAAGCTATTTTGATTTCTATAATACAACGTTAAACGAAAAGGAGAATTTACCTTTTTTGCCACACCAACGACAATAACAATTACATTTAATTTATAACTACCCAGTAGATAATTTCAGGTGTTAAAAACCCTTCCGAAAGGCCTGCCTGAGAGTGAAGAGGCCTCCCACCCTACATTCCTTTCTCCTTTCTTTTTCGTACGGAGTGGCACAAATTGAAGGACTTCTTCTTTCGTTATCCATGGGAGGCCTTTCAAAAGGTCTTTTATAGAACGTACTTCAGAAGGCCTTTTGGAGGAGTTCTTTTAAAGTTGCTTCTTTAATTTATAAACATCATACATCTTTGAAGTACATATCTGCTTAAGATTTATATCAAATATGTGTTATTGTAACTTAATAGGGGTCTTCATCTAAAGTGATAAATACTTGATAAACTTGATAAAGCGATAAATTTATCATTTTGATAAATGAACTGTCAAACTTTGTATGGAAATCTATTTAACCAAAGTTTATCACTTTAGGCTTGTTCGAGTTACAATCACAGCCGCAGTGTTGCGCGAATTATTCAAGTATCACGTTTTGTGTGAATTTCTTACAATAACATTATCAGTTGGGCAGTTGCAACAGTGTTCCAAATTTTAGATGAAAACCCCTAATATGTTTATTGAAATTCATTTGTAATGCTAAATAATATAAATTTATGCATTCTAGAAGGCATGCTAGGAAGCACTTTTTTCAGCCCTTCTGGAGCCTACCTAAATTATCTTCTGGGTATTAAAATATAATTAACGGTCAAAATCACAATTTTGTTTCTTCATTTGAACATAGAAAAGTGAAAAGAGAGTTAATATGCTTGTTTACATTTTACACTATAGTTGAATCTTTTTGAGGAACGGTATTTTCCATGGCCTGAATTTAATGGGTAATTTCATAACAAGTTAGTCGCGAGGGCGAACAAAAATTTGCACTATCGCGAATGTATGCTGAATAGTAAACAACTGTTTCACACTTTGGTTCAGTTGTATTTTATTTAGCTTCAAAACGATTTGACTTGACTGGTTCAATTCAATATATCGAAACAATAAAAATATTTACCACTGTATCAAACTTAAAAAAAATTGGATTCAAAAAATGTTCGCAATTTTTCGTTTAATGACTTCACAAGGTAACGTTTTCACTATTACAAAACTACTTAAAGAATACACAAGTTATCGTTTCACCCTAGTGTATATGAGGCCATAAGAGCAGTAGTGGCCTAACCCAATTTTTTTTCTTTTTGTTCTAGCGGCTATAAGCCAGCCCAGATCGGCTAATTCCTCAATCGTTGACCTCAAGCTCAACTAACGGAAGACCCAAGAAGCGTGCAACGTCTATAGGGCCCGAGTGCAGTAGGCACGTGAAGAGATGTCTCGAGGCGGTAGGCATATGTATTTACCCCTAGTCTGGTACGAGTTTAGGTTATCAGGTGGTTTTGTGTCCAGAACGGCATTCATAGGCCGGGAGACTTGGTAACTTGCGACCGACTCCCTGTGAAAGCCGCTCAAGGCCTGTCGATATGCTGTCGGCACCAGAGATTGCTTTATGAACCTCTTCGGGCAATATTAAAATAATAATGTTTAACTTCCTTTCAAAAAAAAAATATATATGCATATATCCACGGTAATTAATTTCACTTATGTTCGATGGGCTATAAAACTTGTAAATTTGTGCGCAAATTTATTGAATTTTCCTGTGTTTTGCACAAATTTTAGACATCTAATTTTTGGTTGTGGTATGAACTAAATTTATTTAAAAGGAATTAAAATAAAAAACTACATACATTAGCTGTTTGTTTACAAATTATCCAGTAACTGGCCAGCTACTCTCCAGTAACTCAATTTCTAAGAATTCGCTCTCAGAAAAAATATCCAAAAAAGTACGCGATCGCAAATCTAGTAAAAGTTTGCAAGTTTCATGAACAGCTGATAAATTGGTTGTTTATTCGCAGCAAATTCCTAATAAAACAATATATTTTATATTTAAATAGGTTTATTTCGTCAATTTCAACCATAAAAACCCACAAACAGTTTCCTTATTAGTTTAAACTCTATCCTTCAACATGCGACCAGTTGTTTTTCGTACTGGCAAATTGTTAAAAGCAAAAATAACTTAATTTCTAAGAATTCGCTCTCATAAAAAGTACGGGTACGTGAATCCAGTAATAGTGTGCAGGTATCATGAACAGCTCATAAATTGGTTGCTTATTCGCAGCTAATCAAGACTTGACGTGTCTGAAAGGGGTCTTAGTGGATATTTTTTGCTGGAGAATTCGAAAACACAACTATTGTGAAAAATTCTCTGTACGTAAACTTTTGTGGTTGACTGTTGTGATTAAATATAATGCCCTTATGCGTTAGCCCCTCCACAACATGAGCACAATCCTATCTATGCAGATTGGAATACACTGTTTCATCCCCACAACCCCCCCGCACCCCTTTCCTTATTGTTTTTTTATGAAGATCCCTCGGCGTTCTTCTTTTTCAGTACCTCCATGACACCCGCAAAATTTGCAATTTTCTTTTTCGTAGATTTTGGCGTCGAATTTTGACTTCTTACTCGCATTTGAGGCTGGGCTATATCGTCGCTAAAGTCAAAATCATTTTTAGCGGCCGGCCTTAAAAAAAAACTTATTTAGTGAACACTTCATGTACATATGTATATTTCCAAGCTTTGCTGCTAGCTTACTCTGTTTCAGCATTTGTAGTTGTGGCAGGCTCGATTTTGGACGTTGACCCAGTAGTTTCCGTATTTATTGTTTGGCGGCCGGGAAATTGCCACTGTAGCTCCGGAATAGTGCCTTTCTCCAGCAGCAAATAGAGGCCTTCCAATTCTTCTGCTCCTGGTATGAAGTATTCTTCATTATTCGAGTTATGACACTCCGGATCATTGGTATCTTCGCCAGTCATGTGTTGATGCTATAACCTAGAATGTCCTCAAAATATAAGTTATAGGTATTGTGACGAACTTTTGTTAAGTAGCTGATATCACGGCGAATTAAATTTAATTAATAATTTATTAAATTCTTCTTAGCTGATATGTTTGTTGTGTAAATAAATAATAGATATGCGCGGTGCTACCCGATGCATCGGAAACATCGATGTTTCCAATAATAGTGGCGTGGCAAACTATCAATACTATCGATGGTTTTGTTTTTTTTTCACTATCGATAGTTTTTCAAAACTATGCATTTTCACTGTCGAAAATTTTCCAAATTTAAAACACAAAAAGGGTGAATGTGCATTGTATAATGGGCTGTTTTTGCCACATGTAGCTCTTAACATATTTACGTATTCTGCTTTCTAAAAACAATTATCTTTATTTAAGAAACATAGCATGGCAACATTTTTGGGTTTTAGTTGCGACCTTTTTTTCGTCATGGTTCCGTTTCTACTGATGACGTCAGGGCAACATAGTAGTTCTTTTATATAAAAGTATTACCGTTTTATCAGCGTTTTTACTGCAATTAAAATGCTACATTTAGCCCTTTCGAACATTTTTTTCGAAGAGCGTTCATGCTATCGCATTTAGCAAGTGTACATTTACGCGAGTTCGAAATCATATGCTCATGCCGTGTTCGATGTTGAATTCGAGCAACTGTTCTTTTTCCAAATAATGAACAAACACATGATTTTGACGTAATGCTCTCCAAGGCGAAGGAGGTGAGAAGAAAGGGGATGATGTTGTGCCACAAAGGGCGTTTTTACGAGAAGCTGTTTTCATGGCGGAAATACGCCTGGAGGTTTCTAATAACTTTTTCAGATATTTCTTCTTTTGGATTTTGGTATCGATATTTGCGATATCGAGTCTTTTTATTCCGATATTAATGGGTACCCGATATTTTTCCAGCGATACTTTAAATGAGTACCATATCGATACTTTCGGTTCGGTATCGTGTCCCTATCTGCAACTCTTCTCTACCGATTATTTCTCTACTGGTAGAAAATATACGTCATTCTCATGAACCAAAAATACAAGATCACCTAATCAAAGAAGCAAGAAAAAA